ACGGAGCGCGGGGCGGGGCGCGCGAGGCACTTCGCCCGCTTTGCTCTCCCCGTACCCCTCCGCTCTCCCCGGACCCCTCCGCTCTCCCCGGACACCCTCCTCTCGCCCCGGGCCCGCTTTGCTCTCCCCGGACACCCTCCTCTCGCCCCGGGCCCGCTCCGCTCTCCCCGGACACCCTCCGCTCGCTCCGGACCCCCTCCGCTCGCCCCGGACACCCTCCACTCGCCCCGGACCCCCTCGCTCTGGACCCACTCCGCTCTCCCCGGTCCCGCTCTCCCCGGTCCCGCTCCGCTCTCCCCGGTCCCGCTCCGCTCTCCCCGGTCCCGCTCCGCTCTCCCCGGTCCCGCTCGCTCCGGACCCGCTCCGCTCTCCCCGGTCCCGCTCCGCTCTCCCCGGTCCCGCTCTCCCCGGTCCCGCTCCGCTCTCCCCGGTCCCGCTCTCCCCGGTCCCGCTCCGCTCTCCCCGGTCCCGCTCCGCTCTCTCCGGTCCCGCTCGCTCCGGACCCGCTCCGCTTTCCCCGGTCCCGCTCCGTTGCCCCCGGTGCTGTTCCGCTCCCCGCGGTGTCCCCAGCCCCTCTCCGCTTCCCCCAGCCCCACTCCAAGCCCCAGCTCTCATCTCAGGAGCGAGCGAAGGAGGCCGGGTTGCCGGCGCAGGGCTCCGCTGTGGGGATGGGAAGGCTGAAAATTCGGGGGAAAAAAGTACTAACGTCGGAAAAAAAATGCCGGCCTTTCTGGTTGTAAAGCGCGAGGGAGCGAGCCTGAGCCCGCTGTTCTGCAAAAACAGCAAATACCGGACTGTCCCGAGAGTGRCCTTTCAAAGGGAAGGAGACCTTGCCCGTTCCGCAGTTGTTTTGTGGGTTTTGTTTATTTGTTTGGTTTGGTTTTTATATAAACGCGGGCCATAAGGAGTGTTCGATATGACTCTGRACATCGGCGTACCCGCATACACAATACATAAATTGAGCTACTTCTCAGGGCATAATGTGTGCGTGTCTGCAGATAATGAAATRTTCGTTCACGTAAAAAGGAACATATAAGCCCCTGAGCCCTTAAAGTCCCGGCTATTTTGTTTTGTAAATTCGTTTTATGATCCCTTATCCCCGCGCCCAGGACGGATGTGCAGTAAAACGGAGCCGCTCTCTAATAACGGGATTGGCCGCTCGYTGAGAAAAGTTTATTGATAGCTGCAGGGCTCTAATCTCCTCGGAACACAAGAGCCTCTTGCAGTCATTTAAGGGCAATTATCTAAACGGGGAGGGACAGCGAATTCCCTTTCCTTTTAGCTGGACCCTATAAAGATGGTAGATTAGGAGCATATAGATTATGAAATGAATTGATATRATAGACATTTTATTAACTGATAAGCAACAGGATCTGATTGAAATGAATTGTCCCCACACACACTTATCTCGCACACGCGTGAGCATATGCCCTTGCGGRGTGCTTCCTGTGTCCTGCACGTAATCACACCCACCTCCCGCATCTGCTGTGCTCACGGATGATCCCTCTGCCTGAAGGCGATTTGGAGGCGGTTTGCGGGCTAGTCCCGCGCATTCCTATACATCAAGGTGAACGCACTTTGCACAGAGCTATTCGCCGACATGTCTCTCACATTGGTCCATCCATCTGCCCTCCTGCTCCTTGCCGCCCTGCTGAGGGCTCCTGCTAGGCGGGAGCAGCGGTGCCACCGCCCAGCCCAGCCCAGCCCAGCCGAGCCCAGCCCGGGCCGGCTCCGTGCCCCGCTGGTGCCGCTGCCGGTGCCGGTGCCGGTGCCGCTGTCGGTGCCCGCGCTGCCCGCAGCCTCCCCCGCGCCCCATCGGGCCGGGGGCCGGGTCGGGCCGCGTTGGGGCGGGGGGGTGGGGGGTGCTCGGAGAAGCGGCTGCATTGCTAATTGCGAGAATAAACAATCTGTCACGATTAGTCAGTGCCTCTAATAGGCAGACAAGTGATGTTGTTTTTAGGCGCCAGCAGCGGTCTGATCAAAGGCTTCAGCTGGAGGGGGACTATTGAGGACGTTAACCCGCATCAAGGGAGCAAGGCGCCTTAGCCCTGGGACATCGGCACATTCAGCCTGACAAAATTAGTTTGCTCTACCAATCACACGACATTTTCCCAAAGCCCGGTACTCGGCTCGAAGATGCACCYCCACCCCACCCCCGACTAAGAAAACACGTACATATATCGATGCATCGTGTTTCACAGTGTCACGGTGTCCCCTCCACCCGATCCTACAGGTAGGATCTTGTTTTGTTTGGATTTTTAAATTATTATTATTWTTTCCCCRAGTCCAAACTTAATCATGAAAAAGAAGAAGTGATGTGTTTATTAGACCCCGAGGCAGCCMCTGGGCTGAATTGGATCTCGTTGTTTGATGGAAATATGAAAATAAAAATTGGAGCTGCTAGATTTTTTACCCCTACACGCTTTTCTTTTGCACAATGATTTGAACATTGGGATGTTGCTGAGGTTTGAAGAGATGCGTGTGCGTCCCATACTGAGAGCGCAATCCCGCTCTCATTTAGAGTTGACAGAATGAGATAATTAGCTCTTTATTTATCTCCCAGCAATGAGCGCTTTGTGTTTACATTTCTGTCATACTCGCTGGTATTTCAATCACTGTACCATAGCAAGGACTTGATCCTAATTCACAAGCTGGCTTTTCATCTCTTGGGCTGAAAACGAGATGTCAGTAAAGTTTCTTTCGTTTCTTGCTCGTTTTTTCTTTTCCTTCTTTCGTAATGAAATCTACAGGTTTTAAGTTAGAAGTGGAGAAAACAAATTTGCGAAACGAAATTTCCCCCAAGATTGATTTCTGTGTTTAGCGGGAAATTTTATTACCCCAACTCTTCCTCCCTTGCTTACTGCTCCTTGAGTGTCCAAAACACCACTGGATTTTAGGAACTTTTTTAGTACCTGTTTCGTGTTGTTGATACTCTGGTTTGCTTTTAGGGTCCTGTCTTATTTTGCTCCTTGGGCTATAAGGAAAAATCGAAGGGAAAGCGCAGAGGGAAATAAGGTGACTTTATTAGTGCTTGTTCYAGTCCGGTGTTTTTATTGGGAGCCGTGGCGTTTCCCTGAAGGCACTTGTGCTAGATAACAATATTGGGCAATTAGCATCCTAAACAGTCCCGTTTCAATATAATGAATGTGCTAGGCAAAGCCATTACCCATAGCATTTTATTTCGGTGAGAATACAACAAGAGCTGGGAGGAGTACGTGGGGGATGGGGAGAAAGGACAGGAGGCAGCGCTAAGCCAATTCAGGGCATTGTCTGCCTTTTGTAAACGTTATCTTTGACTTAAAGGCAGAACCCAGAAAGGAGAGGGGTGTTGTTGTTTCTCTTGTTTCTATTTTATTTCTCCCGAGACAGCAGTTCTTAGGGGATCAGACACGAGCCTGCTTTGGGGACGAGCAGCTCCGGGGCAGGTCTACTGCACCGGGCACCGCCTGCGCACTGCCTGCGCGCTCCCTGCGCGCCCCTCGGCAGCCTTGCTTCATCTCGGAGAGACTCAGCCCTGGGGGCAAAGAGCCAGAACTGTCGCAAGTGCTAAAAATGTCCCGCGGGCTTTACAAGCCCTCAAAGCCCTTCAAGTGCTCAAAACCCTCCCTGCTTTCGTCGCTGGTCTCCGAGTGYCGGAAAAAATGCGAAAACAGCCTCTTTTTGCCTTTTTTCCCCTCTTTTTTATTTTTATTATTTTTTTTTTAATTTTCCTTTTCTCTCTCTCTTTGCCTGTTTTCTCCTTCTTCCAGGATTAAATATAACCCAAACTATTTTAAGGCTTCAAGGCACCTGGACTGGTCCTCGGGAGGTCACCAGGAGCAGTTTGGATGGCCAAACTCCAGTCGCCGAGGCGTCCCCGGCTCTTTGAGGGTCGGAGAAGCCGGACTGAAAGGAAGGCACTATTTCAAGTGGCCTAAATTAATTTGATCGCGACATTATGATGCACTTGGAAAAGATGAAAGAAAAGGCTGGCCGTCTCCTCCAAGATCTCTATAATTATAGATAATATATCCTATTTCAAAGCAATTAGCTCAATCAGGCGTAACGAGGCACTTTGCTGCCAGGGAGTAACAATGCCTTACGGTTATTTAAGCTTCAAGATGTCAAGCAGACTTCGAGACTCTGCTCTGCCCAAAAGGGAACTTGGCTGTCTTGGTGAAAGCCCCATGGCTAAGACGCTGGTTTCCCTTCAGTGACAGCACGCTTTTTTAGTTTAATATATATTTTTAAAGCTCTTACAAAGGTGTCGGCTCTGCTGGAGAAGAGCACCGCTCCTCCAGGCGCATTTGGGGCCACTGCCTGTGTGGCATCACTTCTGCCCCTGCCCGTCAGCACCGACCTGCCTCACCTCGCCCGCYCGCTCTGGGATGCTTGTGCTCTCCGAGCTTTCCCCCCGGCCCCCGGTGTCTTTCTTTCGTTCGCTTTTTGGGGTGACTCCGGCTATGTCTCACGGGGTTGTGCAGGAGCAGCCGCTGATGGGGCTCACCGCTCGGTGCGCGGCTCCCAGCCCCAGTGCAGACCTCCCTGCCGAGTCAGCGCTTCCTCCCAGCCCTGAGTCTGACCCGG